TTTTTTTTTTTTTTTTTTTTTTTTTTTTGCGACAGGGTCTTGCTATATAGCCTAGGCTGGCCTTGAACTTGGGTCCCTCTGGCCTTAGCCTCCTATGTGCTGAGGTACAGGTGTGCACCACCATGCCCAGCTCTCAAATATCCTTTGAACCTACTTCTCTCTTCATCCCCACAGCTTCTACCTTCACCCAGATCCTTATCATCTCTGCAGATTACTACTGGATCTACCTGCCTTCTCCTCACCTGCACAGTCCACCCTCTGCGCAGCAGCCAGAGAGATTCTTTTAAAATGCAAGTCTAATCCTTCAAAAGCATTAGAACAAAACCCCAGTTGCTCACCATGCCAGGAAAGGCTCCCTCCTCCTTTTTGTGGATCCTGCCACCCTTGTCTGGGATTCTTGACCTTCTCACTTGCTGCTTCTCTGCTTGTAAGGCTTCTACCTCCTTCAAGCCTCAGCTCAAGTGTCATTTCCTCACAGAAGCCTTCTCTGATTACTAAATCAGCTTCCCTGCTATTGGCTGTTACAGTGGCATTTGCTAGTCCTCTGGAGCACTTATCACAATTGAATCAGGTATTTAGCTGTGTGATTGTTTATAACTGGTTGTCTCCACTAGAGGGCAGGGACCATGGATCCACCAGGGTAGCAGCAACTTTCTGGTTTGTCACATTCAGTGAATGAGAAAGGAAAGAATGAGGGGAGAAAGGAAAGAATGAGGGGAGAAAGGCTGGCTACTGAGAAGGCGGTAAGGGAAAGTGGTTACTACTTAGCCTCTCCTTTCCACTGTGCCTCTCGGCATTACCACCACCCCAGGGTCAGGGCTACCTGAACAATGTCCCGCTCTGCATAACGTCCCCTGGAGGACACACGCACATCATCACCGTCCAACTCTTCCATTGCTGTAGAAAAGACACCCTCAGCTGATTGGCCTTTCCAACCCTAACCCAGGCTTCCCCTTCCGTCTTAGCTCCCTTTCAGAGTTATCATGAGAATGCCTAATGGTTGCATTAAAGTCCTTACAAATACTACACACTGTTATAGAATTATTATTACTATGCCTTCCCACACATTCTTTCCACCTAAGAACATCAGAGGGAAAGTATCTCTGTCATGAGTCTCCTTGGTTATGAAGACGAAACAGAGTTGGGAAGGTTTGTGATTTAACCCAAGTCCCACAGGGTTAGCCATCCTATTTTCCTGTGAGGCAGGAGTCCCCTCCTTCTTCTCCCCAGTTCTTCATCCCACTCATGGTTACCCTCCATACTACTTACCCTCAAACATGGCTGGTCCCACACCAACAATAATGATAGACATGGGCAGCGAGGAGGCCTGTGGGGGGGAAAGGGGAATTTTTGGGGGTAATCAGCCATAACAAGGAGGTGACTGTTGGAGAGAATTTTCTCTGCATGTTGTATGCACATCTTGTGAGTACAGTCACCAATTCTCTTTGTTCTAGGCTATTTTTTGAAGGATGTACATACATCAAAAAACCTGGAAATACACAGTGTCATCTTCTAGAGTAGAAGGCAGGTCTGTTTACTATCCAGTATAATAATAATTTTTTTTAGGAGAAAGCAAAGATTTATTGGGACACCATTGAAAAAGATAGAATGGTAGGCAGCTATGCAAAGGAGCACAGCACCCCAGTAAGGTCTCCCACCAGAACAAAGGACATTATGCTTCCTGCCCATTATAAAAGATTTGCCTTCCCTAAACTCAGGGTTCCTATCCTGTAATGCAACCCATAGTGGGTGTCATACAGCACTCCATATACTCCAGGTATTGCTTTTGCTGGGAATAACAAAGTCCTCTGTCTCTGATCCCAGAGTGCTGTGTTTTCTGCCAGCATCCATGAAACTGGCAGAAAAACTTGTTATAAGTAGGATAAAAATCTCAACCCCTTCACAGTTTTGACAATGACCTCCCCCTGCCAAGCCTTCCTTCTCAGACTCACACTGACAATGGCCTCTTTGGTCTGTGTCATGTCAGAGATGACCCCATCAGTGATGATGAGCAGAACATAGTACTGGGAACCATCAGATATCTTGGCTGCAGCCCTGCATAAGAGAACAAGATCAGAATCTAGCTAAAAGTACACAGGCCATGGGAACACTCCCACCCCACAGCTTCCACATCCAGTGTGTGCACAGTGAGCAAGATCTGGGGCTTCTGTAGCCCAGCTTTCTTTACCAGACCTGACTGCCACACCCTGCCTGCCTTCTCTGCAGTAATATTAATTAATGTGTTTATTAATTGGCGGATCTGGGGTTCGAACTCAAGGCTTTGAGTTTGGAAAGTAGATGCTCTTCAACTTGAGCCACACCTCCAGTCCATTTTGCTCTTGTTATTTTGGAGATACGGTCTCGTGAACTATTTGTCCTGGCTGGCCTCAAACCACAATCCTCCTGATCTTGGCCTCCCAAGTAGCTAGGATTTAAAAACAAACAAAAACTCAATAAAGAATAGCTGGGGGTGTGCCTCAAGTGGCAGAAAACCTGCCTAGAAAGCATGAGGCTGAGTTCAAACCCCAGTACCATCAAAAAAACCCAACCAACCGACCAACAAACAAACAAGTAGCTAGGATTAGGCATGAATCATTGGTGTTCGGCAAATAATATTTATTGATCACTTTTATGTTAGGCACTAGAGACACGGGGCAGAAAGCAAATCTTTCCACCATCCATCTAAAAGGTGGGGCTGCAGGAAGCCCACCTTGTCCAGAGGTCAGAAAGTAGACCATGTGGCTGCAGGGACACAGAGACCAGACCACCCCTGGCCTTATCAAACTCTGGGAGGATTCCGACTTACACAAGGGCAGGGGCGAAGTAGCTCTGCAGAATCAAGTAGTTCTGGCTCAGAGTGCACAGGGCCCAGGACAGGAGTGGGATCCTCATCTCCCTTCTTTCACCCACCTCTTCTCTTTCCCATCTCCCCTGATGACCACATCTGTTGTCCACAGTCCCTATCAGCTGCTCTGACAGCTGGTCCATGAGCTGCTTTTCCTTCTTTTACTATCAGTCTTTGGATCCAGGAGTTTTCCATCTGGAAGGACTTCAGAAGTCACTGACTCTGGTCCCCTTATTTTACATATATGAAACAAATAAGACCTAGAGAAGGCACAAGCAGTGGGCACAACACAGGATGGAACTATGCTGCCTAATAAGGTGGCCCTAGATACCTGTGGGTATAGACATTTAAGTTAAATTGAGTTACACCTTCAGTTCCTTGGTGACTCCAGAAATCTCTCATGTACTCAATATCCACATGTGGCTGCTGGATACCATGTTGGACACTACAGATTCAGACCATTTCCATCATTGCAGAAAGTTCCATTTGATGGTGTTGGTATTTAAGCCTGATTTCAGAGGTTGGAGAAGGCATGGAAAAAATGCAGAATTAAGTAGCTCTGGGTCAGAGTGCACAGGGCCCAGGACAGGAGTGGGTCAGGATCCTCATGTTCCTGCTTAACAGCCTCTTCTCCCACTTCCTGAATTATGGCCCCGTCCTCCTAGGCCTAGCCTACAACTATCTCCTGTCATTCACTGATTTCATGTAGAGTCATTGTACATCTGCTATGTGTCAGTGCTGAGCATGCAGCAGGGAATAGGATATTGTTCTAGGGGAGACAGATGCTTGCACACTAGGATGCATTTAAGTTAGGGCTTCGAGGATGTGACAGCTAGTGGAGTCTTGAAAAATGAGTGGGGTTTAGCTAGGTGATGAATGTGTGTGTGTGTGTGTGTGTGATTAGAGGGTAAAGTAAAAGGTGTTCCAGAGGGAGAATGGCAAGTGTACAGAGAGAACGTTCTAGGAGTTGCATAAGGAACTACAGAGGAGAGATGAAGCTGGTGCCATGGGATGTGTGAACTTGAGGCAGTGGTGTCATGGAAGGGTCTGGAAATACGGGAGGTTCATCTTAGATTCCCTGTAGCTGCCTTGCATTCCCAAGGCCATTAAGATCTAAGTTGACTGAGAAGATGGTGAATAGCATGGGGAGGTCAATGTGTGCCCTACTTGGCTGTAGGGTGGGGAAACAACAGAGTCAGTCCTTTGTGATCATTAAAGTCACAACCACACACTTGATGGATGTGGTCTAATTGAGTCCTCACTGCCTTTCTAACGGGTGGACATGCTCTTTATTCCTATTATAAAATGAGAAAACTGAAGTTCAGAGATAGTAAACAAATGTTAAGGGACAGTGAAACCGGAGTCCAAGCCTGCATTTGACCAGGAGAGCCAAAAGTCCAAGCTCTTGGTCCCACCAGTCTCCTTCTCTGGCCTGCTCCCTGGACTCTTGTCCATCTGCACCTCCTACTCCAGTCAGATCCAACTGTGTAGTGTCTCCTGAACTTCCCTGTTTGTGCCTTCGTGCTTTTTAAAAGCCTTCTTTCTACTAGGACTCCTTGCTCCCCTTCTTCTGATGAAGTCAACCACTCTAGCCCAGCTGATCAGTCTTCTCTATGGCAGGACTGTGCCCCTCCATCCTCTAGGATACAGCCCTGCCCTCCAACAAGAGCTGTCTGCTTATCCAAGAGGGTTCTCACATTCTTGGGGTACTGAGAGGACCCAAGGATACATCCATCCTGCTTCACAGTCTTGCAGATGATATAAGTGCACTTAAAACACCTTAAAAACTTTTCAGGTAAACATAAATGGAATGTGAGAAGAATATAAAATTTGCATTAATTTGTAGGATGAAATATGGAGACTTCAAAGACATTCTTATCCTGGCTGCTTTTAGTTGGGCCCCAGGTTCCCTCAGGGATGCAGTCTCTTGCCTTTGCCAACAGGCAACTTGCTAGAAAAGTCTGGGAAGCTTTGGACTACAGAAGGTAATGATTTATTTATGTTTCTGTCTTTGTCTCCTGAACCAAGGCAGGAGCTCCCAAGGGTAGGGACTAGATCTGATTCATCTGTGATCTCCAGTGCCCCAGCAGAGAACTGAGCATACAGCAGATGTCCTTTGAATAGTAATAATGATAATATTAGTAACAGTAATAGCTAATGCTTGCATGTGGCAAGTTCTGTTCTAAGTGCTAGATACACGTTAACAAGTCCTCACAACAAACCCATAATGTAGACATCATTATTATCTCCAGTTTACAAATTAAGAAACAGGCACAGAAAGATAAAGAGTCGGACTGGTGGAGTGGCTTAAGTGGTAAAAGCACCTGCCTAGCAAGCGAGGCCCTGAGTCCAAACCTCAGTGCTGACAAAAAAAAAAAAAAAAAAAAAAAC